ACCTACTCCTTGAGCTGGAGCTTAGAGTCAGCCCAGATTACACCAGTCCGAAGTGGGGTAGTCCAACCCTATTCAGGACCAGAAGAAGATCCATGGAACCAAGTGATCCAAGAACCCATTCTGTTTTGTTAGGGTTGAGTTGAGCCATTTTCTCCTTATCTAAACCATGACAGCTTCCAGGCACTGGGACAAGATAGAATCACTTAGCTCCCAGGGGTCAAGATATGCAAACAAGTATCATCAGCACCAAGTGTGGCCACTTGTAGATATTAAATAAGAGGGATAAAAATATTGAGTGGCTTTGGACTTGGCTCCTTTCCCCCCACCAATACTGACTGGGACTGGCTGCAGAGAAAGGAGGAAAATCACCATTATCTCCCACCTCCACTTCTGCAGTTGGTCCAGAACGTCCAGATAATCTGTTTCTTCCTGGGCCCTCTGTAATTGCAATCCAACCATCTCCTCAACAACTTTCCTCCCAAAAGGGAGGTTGGAGACTGCATGAATATCATCTAGCACTCTGGAGAAGGGGATGTGCTACTGCCTCTTCAAGGCCAGCAGAATCACTTCTTCTCTTAAGGACGTAAACACCATTACACAAACCCAACTGCATGTTATCTCCCAGACAGCTTTTGTCAACCAGGAAGGACAGGGATCTAATAAAGAGGTGGCCAGCTGAGTAGGGCCAAGGATCCTGTTTACTTCTTCAGGAGTAACAGGATCAAACTCTTCCCCATTAACCAAGTGAGGCAGCACCTCTGTCACCTTGATTGGACCAACCCAGTGAGAGTCCAACTCCAATGAATCTGAGCAATTTTATCTGTTTAGATGCTTAGAAAATTATTCCCAGTCCCATACAGATGGTCCTGGAACCACTCCTTCTCCAACAAGGAATGTGTCACCCAAAAAAGGGCTGCTGGATGGCAGATGCAGAAAGAGTGGAGAATTAACTAAATTTTGCTGCTCATATCCATGATATAATCTCTAATATAGGCTCTTACACATGCTTGGTCAGATTCACTCTTTGTCTTCTTCCAACACAGCTCAAGGCATCTCTTCTGATGTTTTATCTCCTGGAGTTCTTCAAAAAACTAAGGAGCCTCCTGGGATTGACTTACAGCAAGCAGCCACATAGGAGCAATCTGATCCATCACGTTTGCTAATGGAAATCCAGACTGACCAGCCAAGGAAGTACAGGAGAAGTTGTCAGTACTAGTCTCAGGTACCCTGAGAGCTTTTAAGCAAGCTCACCAGTCCCTTTTCTCACTGAATCTATCCAGTGGAAATATGGCCTGGTGAAGACTACCCAAAGAATGCCTGTGTTCTCTGACTGCTTCTATTCTAGGGCCAGGCAATGGTAGATTTCCCTGTCTGACTCTATTCCCAAGGTCTTGATGGTTTGCCATGTTCACTAGATGCCACTTCCATTATCTGTGGCAAATAACTTTTTCAAAGCTTCCGTAAATCATACCATAAAGGCACAGACAGATCATTAAGTCTATTACCACAAAAACACAGTAACCTAAATAAGAACAAATACAATATTTTACTCTGATATACAAAGATTCTTCTTCTTCTGCAAATCCTGGGATTGCTCCAAGCCTGCTAAAACTTCTCTTTTGAGAACAACAATGCTGTTTTGGCTACTTAAGGACTGATGCACAGAGAATCCAAATATACTAAGAGACCAATCAAAATTGACAGATTTCTTGATTTTTAATAACTAGTACCCAAATGGGTCAGAAAATCAGTGACATAGATCTAGACAATTTCCTTCAACTCAAAGTCTCTGGAATAAAGATGCTACAACATTTTGCCATGTATTAGAATGGAATATAATTAGTTCTGGGATTTGTGGTAATGGAGTTTGAAAGACTTTTATAAAACATTAATGGAACTGTTCTCCCACTCCTACCTACTTGCCTGTTGCAAGTAACATGGAAAGGTAAAACTCAAGTACACAACTAGTTAGCCTCATAGCTCCAAATATTCTGCCCACATTTTCAGGTACTGCAAATCAGGGACCATCTAGCTTATATGACAAACAGTTCTCACAGATAATCCAAAAATATTGTTGGTGCCATTTCCAATTAAGACCATATATGTGTGTCTAACTGGTCACAGCAAATTACAAAGGATCCTTTATCTCTACCTGAGGCTCATGATGCAATGGGCCCATTGTGATTCCACTTACGCTGAAAGACTGCATGGCAAATAGTAATGGTACACAAAAGAAGATGATTTGAAATAGAATCTAGTTCCCTCCATTCATAATCATCACAAGTTTTTCTCTAGTGTTATTCCACTCATTATTATTGCCATTATATCAAACTCTCCTGAACCTGGGCTCCAATGAGGCTCAGAGATGATCTTGTCAATAGTTCAGCCATTTCCTCATCACAGAGGTCAATGAAAACTTAGTAACATGAGAACTGTCTAAATAAGCAATTGGCAATGTTGGCCGTTCAGGTGTTGAACTCCAGTTCCCATTCAGCCCTAGTCAATGTGTTAAGCTGTGAAGGTAAGTAAGTAAGTAAGTAAATAAGTAGAATTACATGTCCGCAGGAACATACATTGCTTACCACTGCACAGCAGTCATCAGTTAACTAATCTGACCCCAGGTCCCATATTCATATAGAGTAAAAAAAATCCTGGTAAACCTAAAAGCTTCAGGAATTATTTGTCTATGATAAAAGAACTATCACAGTTACCCCATCTATAGATCACTGGTATCCCTCATAAAGTTACCAAGGAAGCCATGAAATCCTGAGGCATGTTTAACCATTGGCTTTTAATATTCTCTAAAATCACATGTCTGCACTACTTCAAGAGCACCTATACCTATTTTGGTGAGAAGATTCTTAGACTGTAGAAGAAGACATATGCCACTAGAACCACTGTCCTGACACTCATCACTCAAAATCAGGTGATTGCTGGTAGGGTACTTGAGATATTCTGTACTAACTGCAACATAAACAAAAAACAAAACAAAAGCACACCCTAGCACTACAGCCCCCACCGCCGCATAGCACCTTGAGCAGCAATGTGTCATTGGTCCCTTCTTTGGTGATTTACCCTACTTGAATTTTAATTTTTAAGAAAATGTTTTTTTTTAAATGGTCATACTGCAAAGTAAAGCAAACCCTTCAAAGCATCTTTATTTCAAAAAATAAGGTTAGAAGCTATACAGTCCTCACTGGTAGTCTCACTACAGCCTGATGTATTAGTAAACATGCCTATTTATAAAACAAAAAGTCAAATATATTTTGCAATTGATTGAGAGTATTTTGGCAGACTAGAGAAAGGCAGGAAATCAAATAGTATGTTTTATACAGGTAGTCCTCACTTGACTGCCTCGATTAACAACTGTTCGAAATTATGACAGTGTAAAAACAAAATAGCTTCGCAACCAATACTTGCATTTATGACCATCACAGCATCCTGCAATCACATGATCGCCATTTGTGTGCTTTGCAAGTGGCTTGCAATAAGCAGTTAATGGAGAAGAAGGAAGTCATGTCAGGTGAGGTTTCGCTTAATGACCATGGTGATTTGCTTAATGACCCACAGGGAAGTAACATCATAAGTCTGTCGCGGTTGCATATTTCGTTTAGTGACTGCGGCACTTAGCATTGGAGTTGTCGGTCCCAATTGTGGTTGCTAAGTGAGGACTACCTATAATTGGTTGTGCACACATTGCAGCAGCCATTTTTGAATAGCACTTGCCCACATCACCCATTTTTTGTTTGTTTGTCTGACATTTGCTCAAAATGTCAAATATTTACACTAGCTGGGGAAACCTGCCTAACATACAAGGATTTATTTACCCAGTCTCATCTAATGAAATTTTTTGTGGTGCAAAGCAGTTTTGAACATTCGGCCAGGATGTTTCACTATTAATCAACTTAGTGTTACTTAGCACAATATTAAGTATCCAGAGGACTGCTGCTGGCAGGAAAATGGTTAAAGTGGAGAAAGTAATTCCCAACTCTAGAGTTATCACTTTTTTTTTTATCACAAATGGGCTACCTATCTGCTGCCATTATATCCGATGCTGCCTTCTAGTTTCTAAATACCCTCATCCAGACCACCCTATTTCTTTTTCTCCAAACACACCTATCTTCTGAGATACTTCAGTCTTGTATCAATAAATGAAAGCATGCCATCCAACCATGTGATCCTCCAAATTAGATCCCCAGGCAGCAAGATGCTATCAATGTCAGTTGAAGTATCATCACGTAGAATATATCTCATGGGACAGATATATTCCCAACAAACACTTCTTACTCCTTAATAGCAATTCCATGACATCTGAAGGGCAAAATAAGTGCCTCTCCTTATGCTATTGTGATCTGTACTGCCTCTTGGTATCATCTTTACCATACACCATTAATGATCAAGATGATGCTGTCTGGGAAACCTCTTTCCCCCATGGGGAAACATTTAAACAAACATATGAACTCCTATTGAGAGTTCTGAAATTTTAGCCACCCCCAAATTTCTTTGTCTGATTCTACTGACGCTATGTAGCTAAATCAGTTGCCACTAAATAATTGTTCTTTTGTTTTCCAATGGAATGGCATTATTTTACAAAAACAAAAGAAACAAATTACATTGCAGAAAAATACATATTTAAACAATAACAAGTTGATATGAAATCATTATACTTTTCAGGTTTAATCACTTCCTACCCAATTCAATGCTATTACTATCTTTCCTTTTCTAAGATTCTTAATGAAAGGAATAAAAGTTTCAGTGTTCTAAATGCAGAAAACACTAGATTGGTTTAATTAATTCAAGGACTTCATAGATTAAAAACCTAATTGCATGTTTGCCATTTTAAACAATAACTTTAAATGAGAACAAACAGTAACCTTCAATGATAAACTGTAGACTGCTGTATTTATATTAAAATGCTCCAGCAAGATTTCTCAATGTTAAAAAAATGTTTTAAAATGACATACAATTAAGATGCTAGTTTTTAATATGTTATTATTTACCTTCAAATAAACTGAGGTCTCTTCGTAGCCTTGGTCCATAAAGCCCTTCTAAAATACTTTCAAAACCTAACAAAAACAAAAATTAAAACATTTTACCATACATCAAATAGTTTCACAAATGTAACACCTGAAAAGGTAAAATCACTACACTTAGGCATATTGTTATAGAAAAGGCAATGTTTCTGATACTGAAATTCTAGAGAAAAACTTGATTGTCTGTAGGCATTAAGATGCATTTCCCACCTCCAACACACACACACACACAGAGCCTCAACTTACAGTTGCAAATGCTATGGCTGGGAAGCTAGCGTCACACATTTTCCTCTACCATGTCGCCTTCAGATGAATGGGGATTTATGTAAAAAACGATCCCTACCATATCACTTTCCATGAAAAAAAGACACAACAGAGGATGGACCACAATTCAGAACAGATTCAACAAAAGTTTTAAGACATAAATTTTATCATGAATACACTTTATATATCAGGGCTGTGTGAGAACTGAACTATTTTTCAAAGTACTGAACATCTAGAGCTTCTGTTGCCATGAGAACACAAGGAGATACTTCCCATAGAAGAACTAGGAACAGGGTCATTTGTGAAGAATGAAGGTGACGGTGAAATCCAAAAAGGTGAGATGAACTGGAGGAGAGACTAAGCTAAAGGAGACACTAGACAGGTTTGTAGACAAGGCAGCTCAGTTGAGAGCCCGATATATAGAACAGATTGGAGTATCATGTAGGGGTGATGGTTTATATG